ATGATTTGTACAGGGGTAAAATGATATCTCTCTCTCTGGTCTATACCTCTTTTAATACAAGAGAGGATTTTGCTCGCTTTAGAAACCGCAGCTTGGCATTGCATGCCATTATTAAGCTTGTGATCTACCAGAACCCACAGATCCTTCTTCACCATTGATTACCCCAGTTGAACCCCCCCCCCCCCTAGTATGTATGATGCATGCATATTCTTAGCCCCCAAGTGCATAACCTTACATTTATCAACATTAAATCTCATTTGCCACATAGTTGCCCAATTAAACAGTGCATTGAGGTCGGCTTGTAAGTTGAAGACATCCTGTAAGGACGTTATTCCACTGCACAGCTTGGTGTCATCTGCAAAGACTGAAATGGTATTTTTAATCTCAGACCCTATATTGTTTATGAATATATTAAAAAGTAAGGGTCCCAACACTAAACCTTGGGGTACACCACTGATGACCCCAGACCATTCAGAGTATGAATCATTAACCACTACTCTCTGAATACGATCTTTTAGCCAGTTTTCTATCCATTTACATACGGATTTTTCCAAGTCCATAGACTTCACCTTACACATTAGCCGTGTGTGTGAGGAACTGTGTCAAACACTTTTGCAAAATCCAAATATACCACGTCCACCACCACCCCTCTGTCCAAGGTTTTGCTCACCTCCTCATAAAAAGAAATCAGATTTGTTTGACAACTTCTGTCTTTCATGAATCCATGCTGTCTGTTGCTTAAAATATTTTTTTCCAGCAAGAACTCATCTAAGTGGTCTTTTATTAAACTCTCCAGTATCTTCCCAACTATAGAAGTTAAACTAACAGGTCTATTATTACTTGGTAAAGATTTTGACCCCTTTTTAAATACTGGCACCACATTGGCCTTACGCCAATCCAGTGGTACTATGCCAGTCATTAAAGAGTCCCTAAAAATGAGAAACGATGGCTTTGAAATGACAGAGCTCAATTCTTTAAGGACCCTTGGGTGTATGCCATCCGGTCCAGGTGCTTTATTCACTTTTATGCTGTCTAAATATTTTTGTATCATATCAATTGTGAGCCAATGTGGATCATCTGAAGCTGTGTCAATACCATGCCCATTATAGACAAGAGCTCCCCATGCTCCTTTGTATACACAAAGCTGAAGAAGGTATTAAATAAATTTGTCTTCTCTTTATCCCCAATTACCCACTCTAGATTATTTTGTAAAGGGCCTACATGCTCGGACCGGACATTTTTACTATAATATATTTGAAGACTTTTTGGGGGTTGGTCCTGCTATCTTTTGCAATCTGTCGTCTGTTTTCAATTTTTGCAGCCTTTATTTCCTTTTTGCATATTCTGTTATATTCTTTGTAATGTTTAAACGATGATAGCGTTCCTTCATTTTTATATTGAATAAAAGTTCTTTTCTTATTATCTATAGCCTTTTTAACTTTGGCCGTAAGCCACATAGGTTTGATTTTTAGCCTTTTAAACGTGTTGCCCATGGTAATATATTTTGCAGTGTGTTCACATACAGTATTTTTGAAGAACTCCCATTTCTGTGTTGTGTTCATCAATGCCAATATTCCCTCCCAGTCTAAGTCTTGGAGAGCAGCTCTCAGCCTTGGAAAATTACCTCTCTTGAAATTGAGTGTTTTTATTTTTCCCGTATGTGCTTGCTGTTTACAGCTAACAATAAATGAAATCATGTTATGGTCACTGCTACCCAGATGTTCTTTTATATAGACATTCATAATAAGCTCTGCATGGTTTGAGATTACCAGGTCCAGCAAAGCATCATTCCTAGTTGGGGCCTCTCTATGAACTGTACCATAAAATTGTCCTGTAGTAGGTTTAAACATTTTTGCCCTTTAACTGTTTCTGCAGTACCATTACTCCAGTTAGTTTCCGGGTAGTTAAAATCCCCCATTATTATCACTGTCCTAGCCCTTGCAGCCCTTTCGATCTGTTCAAGTAGCTGAGTTTCCACCTCCTCATTAACACTGGGAGGCTTATAACAAACTCCAATGATTACCTTTGTAGTACGCACTCCCATGTGTGCAGTTCCACCCATAATGCTTCAGCCTCATCACACTCTCCATCAACTAGGTCCTCTTTCACACTCGCTCTGAGATCACTTCTCACATAGAGTCAGACACCACCACCTTTCCTATTTACTTTGTCTCTCCGAAAGAGAACATAGCCAGGAATAATAATGGCCCAGCCATGCGAAGAATGAAGCCAAGATTCAGCAATACCAATTAAATCATAGCTCTCTTCATGCAACAAAGCTTCCAACTCACCTATTTTGCTTGGCAGACTTCTGGCATTGGTGAACAAACACTTTAATTGATTGACACCTTGTGCACACGTATTTTGCTTATTTTTTAGTTTCATACAAATGGTACCAATTCCACTGGTTGTTTGTAACATGGGAACCTTCTTATCATCTGCCATAGCCTTCCTCCCATCTTTCCCCATTTCACCCACCAATAAGTATTGACCCCTCTCTGATCTGTCTACCCCGTTATAATCTAATTCTACCTCCCCCCTTGATCCTAGTTTAAATACTCCTCCAGCCTTCCCATAAACCTCTCCCCCAGCACAGCAGAACCCCTTCCATTTAGGTGCAGACCATCTCTAGCATATAGGTTGCACCCCAATGAAAAGTCATAAATTAAATATATGTTATGTTTTCCCCACAAATAGAACTTTCTTTTGGTGGTATTTGATCACCTCTGAGTTTTTTTATTTTTTGCTCCATACATCAAAAATAGACTGTCAATTTTGAAAAAAAAAAAAATCTTTTTTGACTTTTTGCTATAAACCATATCCAAAAAAAAAAATGTAAAAAATTTAATTTCTTCATAAATATAGGCCAAAATGTATTCCACTACATGTCTTTGGTTAAAAAAAATCCCAATATGTGTAAATAATTGGTTTACGTGAAAGTTATAGTGTCTGCGAATGGCGGTATATACAGTATACTGGAATTTTTATATCTTTATGCTAGTAATGTCAGTGATCACCGACTTATAGTGGGACTGCGGCAGGCATTCTGACACTGGGTGGGAACTGACTAACGACCAATAACATCTCCAGTGACACTAATACTGTGATCAGTGCTAATAAGCAGGACTGACATTGTACTAATGACATTGGGCAGGAAGGGATTAACATCTTGGGCGATCAAAGGGTTAATTGTGTGTTGTGTTGTGCTTGCACTGTTTGCTGTGTGCTGTTTTACTAGAGACACCATGCTGACAGGAGAGAGATCTGAGTTGTTTACACACAGATCTCTCCCCTCTCAGCTTTAGCAGTGATCACCGAGTGCTGGCCGAGAATCAGTGCTGCATCAATGGCAGTGCGGGTAGGGAGGCGCGCGCACCCCCCTACCCGGAACTGCAAAATCAGGTTTTGTTTTTTTTTAAAGAAAGTGGATTTATTTTTTAACTAGTTAAACATCTCAGCAGAGATTACTATATTTATTGTAACGCTAAGTAACCTTTGTCCTTAATTTTTTGGCCCAGACCCATTTATGTTTCTTTTACGTATTATCATCTGTAGTTTGTTATACAGAGCTGTATCACTAAATGTACTATTTAGCTATCAAATGCTCTTAATTTTTTTGTCATAATCTTTCCCGTAACGGGCCTATTCACACTGCCTTTTGCAGTGTTATGCATCAATGTATGTAGAGTTAAGGCAGCCTTTTATTTCTGAATGGGCTAGCAACACATGAGAATTGACTAAATAATAGACAGGCAGCATTATTCCCGCACTGCAAACCACAACATATGTGTGTCAAAGGCATTAGTGTTTTAGGGTGCCATTGAAAATGGATGGCACAACAACACAGAAACACAGGTAAAAAAGTGATTCAGACCTAAATGTTTGTGTTAGTTATTTTTCAAAATTGAAAAAAGTAGCAATGTTGTACACAGCAACTTTGCATTATTGTTTTCATTTTCTAACTTTGGAAACATGCTATGGTAATACAGCTATAGTATTTGAACAAACTAGTACTAATATATTTAGGTGTGTTTGCTAGAGATGCGCAGCATCAAAAAATATGTTTAGTTTCGGATTCCTTCTTTGTTTTGTCATATTCGTTATTTTAGAATAATTTGTATTCGGAAATTATTTCATATATTTGGATTAGTTTCATATATTCTGATTTGTTTAATATATTCAGATTAGTTTCATATACAGAGATTCGGCTAGTCCAACCCACAAAGAGAAATGGAATGAGTTGATTGGACGACATTTGAAAAATGAATGAAACAAAATTAATTTTGGATTCATTTGTTATATTCATTCACTTAAAAAGAGAAATGGAATGAACTGATTAGAAGATATCCAAAAGAAAGAATGGAACAAAATACAATTTGGATTCATTCGTTATGTTATGCTTTGGAGATTCTGATGGATCCACATCCATCCAACGCAAACACAATAAATAGGAAACATCATATTATTTCACTTTTATACCTTACTGTATTTTTTTCATTTCATATGTAGTGCATTTTTTTTAATAATGAAAAATGTTAATACAAAATAAAAATGAAATAGATCCAAAAGAATGAATGGAACGGAATTAATTGCAGATTCATTCATTATGACATTATGTTATTTTGGATGCTTTAAACATTAACAAGAGGCCCAAACTATTGCATCATGTCATTCAAATGAAATGAATGAATATGAATGAATTTGTTTCATTATATTTATTTTGGATTCGTTGAAATTCCTTACTATTGTGATTCAGAGATTCGTATACATCCGAATCTTCAACTAACAAAAATTTTGTTCAAATTTCGATTTGTAATAAAACGAATCTCACAAGTATAGAGTTTGGTAGTATCATTTTTTTAGAGTCTTGTGGTTGTCTATATAGGCTCACAAATGTTTTCAGATCAAAAAGTATGTATGGCATTTTGTTGTTTTTGAAATGCCAGAATACTTTCTTATTTTTAGAAAGCTAAAAAATACTGCTTTTTGGTATAGCTCACCAATCTCCAACCCGAGTTTTGAGAATTTCATAGATCCTGCTGATGTTACGACAGCACAACGTCCAAGCTTTCCAATCTTTTCTTGAAGACTCTTCTTGGGCATGTATTGGCTCCAGGAAATGGCAGTAGGAGGGAGATCAGTGGCCATAAGGGGTGACATGTTTACCCTGTTCTTAAGATGACATAGGATTTCCGCTGCACTGTTATTCTGTTTAATCTGTCCTTTGAATTTAACTTTGTATTTGTTCATATTTTGGTAATTCTTCCTCACACCCTGTAATCTCCTTATAAGGTCCTTGGATGTCATTTCCTTAGGCCACAACTTGGACCGATATCTTCTTTCCATGAACATCTCATTTCTATTTTTAACAGAGTTAGTTGGTGCCCAAAGAGTATTTTTCACGATTGTCAAGTTCTCTGTAATATTTGTATGGAGCAAATCTATAGTTCTCTCAGTTGTAATCCTTGCTGTGTGAACCCTTAATTGCCGGGGTTCAACAATCTGATAATCACTCTGTGATTTGGTGTCAGCATTAGTGGGATGCCAATGCAGATCAAGAAAAAGGAACCAGAAAACACAAAGGAGCAATAAGGAAACAAAACTTATTTTATAGATGAACCGGGCCATGATTATAGACCTAGAAACAAAAACACACAAAACAATATAAGTTATCTACAACATATTATTCTCATTATGATAATGAGCTTTGGAACAAAAAAGTTTAGTTTAACTGACAGGGCAATTAACAATTTACAAAATTAAATATATACTGAAATAAATATTGTATTATATGAAAATTTGCATGCATTTTAAGTAAGATATTGTAAAGGGGACGAATCAGTAAAAGGCTTAAGTCACATGGTAGTTGAATGCAAATGAACACCTATTGCCCATGTTCTGAAGGACCTATTCGGGGCTTTGCTAACAATCCCCATCTGGGTGGGTCTTTGGGAACATACTGTGTATGACTGTCATAGGACAAAAAGCCTGTGTACTACATTATATCACTGCCTACTATTCCACGTTCAGATTAACACTCAGCTCTGATAATATTCTTAATAACCTTTTGAAATGATATGGTCGGTTTACATAAAGGAAAACAGGTTTTGACCAGTTTTTTTATTCTTTTTGTCTGAAAATTTTAATATTTAAAAATTGATATAATATATCATAATCCCATCATTGTAATACATTGTACAAGTGTGTGGGTTCACTTTCGAGTTTGCAGACTATGTTGGGCTTTCTGATAAAGCCCAGCACTAGCTATGCACTGGTCTCTGACACCTCTAGCAGTAGAGGGAGATTTCATTTAACTGTGAGTATTATGATATCCAACTTTTAATTCTAAACTTACGTAACATATAAATGATTTAAATTGTGCAAAAAATATTATACATTTTCTATACTCACTTTAACCTTAATGTGTACCCTTTATGAACATTACCCATTTTTACACTTAAAGCAATACCAAAGGCTTACCTTTTTTTTTTTTTTAATAACAATCATGTCTTTACTTACCTGCTGTGTGCAATGGTTTAGTACAGAGCAGCCCAGATCCTTCTCTTCTAGAGTCCCCCACAGGCTCTCCTGGCCCCTCCCTCCTGTTGGGTGCCCCCACAGCAAGCAGCTTGCTATGGGGGCACCCACTGCTCTGTGTGTCCATTCACACATGGAGCCATGGCTCGGTCCTGCCCCATCTTTCTTCTCATTGGCTCACTGGCTGTGATTGACAGCAGTGGGAGCCAGTGGCTCCACTTTAAGATATTTGCCTATTGGTTTAGCTAGAACTTTGGAATGTACTATATTGACAAAACTCCACTTAGTCCATGCACATTTATTTTGATAGATTTACTGATATTCACAATACCCTCAGTGAACATTCACTGGCAACATTCAGCATGTTTATAATATGGGGAATATTGTAATGTTTATTCTAGTTATATTCTGATGAATATGACACTGGCTGCACATACAAAACACTTTACTTTGTGCTTTCACTTTTTTAACAGGTGAATTTGAAAATATAGAAGTCATAGAGAATTGTCCATAGTGATGTCACCTTAGTATCTCATGACTTCTGTACAGAAAGCTATAAATTTCACTTCATATCATATTAATAAAAATAATGTATTTCAATCACAACAGTTTATTTTAATTAGATTAAAAGTGATATGACTTAATATAATAATTTAACAATGTAACAATTAATATTACAACTATTACTATTTTATCTACACCTTCTCGCTCAATGTTATGTTCTTATGTTCTCAATAGTTATCTCAATAAAACTCCAAATTCAGTCTCAAGTTACACATAAACACACACACACATTCATGAAATTTGTATTTAATTACTGAAAGCTTTCTCTTTCCTGAGAATCACTATTTTACTTACACTTTTTGAAAACTCACAGAACCTCCAAATTTAGCCAGAAGCTATATAGACACACACATTGAGGATAGATAGAAACTGTGAGAACAGACACAGGCAATGACAGCACACACGTCATAGCACATTGATGAGGTCACAGCACATAAATGTAGCACCCCTCTAGTTATCCAGAGGAAGCTAGATAGTTTTTTTTAGGCAGAGGCTGAATAGCAGTCTGGGATGAGTCAGACAGGTTACTCTAGGTCAGGTCAGGGCTCTGCAGGTCAGTTCCCTGATACCTCCCCCTGCTCTGGAAGCTTGAGAAGTTTCTAGAAGGTAGTGGACAGGGGTGAAGAGGGACTGATCTGCATGTCTGAGGGATCTTGACCAATCCCCAAGCAGGAGGCTTGGCATGGAGTCAGGACAGCCCTCAGATATGATTGAACCTGATCAGCAGGAAGTAGTCAGTGTGTGCTGGGTGGATGATGGAGTAGGAGGCTGGAGTGTGGAGTCTGGGGGGGGGGGGGCTCAGGAAAGGGGCCTACCTAGGGGATGGTTCTGGAAGAAGTGACCTCCAATGTGCCACCATCTATTAGAAGGGACAGCCAAAGCAGCAGGGAAGGAGTTAGTCTAGCAGAAGGCCTGAAGGCAGCCACCAAAAGCTATCAGCAAGGACAGTGTAAGTAACCTTAATGCCCTAGGCCAGATAGGGGGAGAGGGCAGTCAGGTGGTGAACCCAACTACCTCCTCAGCCGGGACTGTTTAATCTTTGGCAGCTCCTGGATTCCCTTGACCTGTAGTACTGCTGGGTGAAGAGGAGGATTCATCTGGGGTCTGAGGAGGTACACTGGAGAGCTAGAGTGCTCTCAAAGAAGAGACAGGGGTTTTTTTTGCTTCTTGTCCACAGACTTGGTTACATAGTTGATAAGGAGTTTTACCTCTCAATTCACAGTTCCTTGGGCATCCCATGTATCCCTCAACCCCATCCAAGTTCAACACACTTTAATAAAATCACAAAAACAAGCCAAAGGACTGGTTACTGTCTCAGTAATGCATGTTGCCCTGGCTGTTCAGGACTGTAGGGGGAACCAAAATCTTAGCGACTCCTAAGGGGGTAGTGCTACATAAACATGCAGTGACAACTAAAGCACAGAGTAGACATACACAGCCAGACTAGAAGCATACACAATTAGAACCGACTACACACATGCAGTCAGGAGAGACATACACAGTAACAGCAGACAAATATGCAGTGAAAGCAGGTGCACATGCACTGAAAGTAGACAAGCATGCAGTGTGAGCAGACACAATCAGTAGGAGCAGACACACACAGAGAGCAGACACACAGGCAATAAGAACAAACACATGTGTAGAAAGAGCAGACATACACACAGTGAGAGCAGAAACCCGAACATAGCAAGACTGCACACACATGCAGGCATAGCAGACATGTGCAGTCAAAGCAATCATAAATACAATCACAGCAGAAAAAAGGCAACCTGAGTACAAAAATAAGAATTCAGGGCAGACGCACATAACTAATCAGGTACACACAAACACACACTGAAAGGACACATGGGGGTTTATTTACTAACGCTGGAGAGTCCAAAATCAGACTCCCTTCTGCATAGAAACCAATCAGCTTCTAACCTCAGCTTGTTCAATGACAGCTTTGGCAATGAAACCTGGAAGCTGATTGGTTTCTATGCAGAAGGGAGTCTGATTTTGCACTCTCCAGCTTTAGTAAATAAACCCCATGAGGTCAGGAAGCACATGCTTGAGCACACAGTCTGATAATATGTCAAAAAAGCATATTTGGACAGGTCACACTCAGACACAGCACATAGTCAAAGCAATCAGACAGATCACACAAAAAGGATAGATACAGCATCCAGAGCACACATACAACATGCAAAAAAAATCAGATACAGCCAACTGGACATACTAAATCACAAATATGATACCATTTACAAGGTACAAAGTGATGACTGGGGTCTAGCTAGATATGATAGTTTGTGCACAATGTTGTTGGCAAAATATAGGAGACAAAGAAAAGTGGTCTTCAAAAAGATGGCGGTTACTGTATATGTACAAGGACAAATAATGGTTTAGAGCCAGACTATTTAAAATTAACCAGTTGCGCCCTATAGCAGAAATACTGCTACAGTGCAGCAGGGCTGCGCAAACTCATGTATATATACGTGATTTGCATTTCTGGGTATTGGGTGCACGCGCCACCCTACCCGCGCTGCCATTGGCGGCTACGGTTGTCAATCACCGCGATTGCCAAATAACACTGACAGGGGAGAGACCTGTGTGTAAACAACACAGGTCTCTCTCCAGCCAGAAATAACATGCAGCAGAGAAATACACAGCAGCATGTTTCCCTAGTAAAACACACACACAGCACAACACAACACAGCACACAGTTAACCCTTTTGCCCCAGATGTTAACCCCTTCCTGCCCAGTGCCATTAATACAGTGTCAGTACTTTTTATGAGCACTGATCACTGTATTAATGTCATTGGGATGTTAATGGCAGTTAGTCAGTTCCCATCCAGTGTCAGAGAGCCTGCCGCAGTCCCACTATAAGTCGCTTTTTAGCCAAGACATGTAGCAGAATACATTTTGGCCTAAATTTATAAAGAAATTTGATTTTTTTAAATTTGTTTACGAGATATGTTTTATAGCAAAAGTCAAAAATATTGGGTTTTTTTTCAAAATTGTGTGTCTTTTTTTTTTTATAGCGCAAAAAAATAAAAAATGCACAGGTGATCAAATACCACAGAAAGGAAGCTCTATTTGAGGGAAAAAAGGACGTCAAAATCTCATTTGGGTGCTGCATGTTGCATGACCGCGCAATTGTCAGTTAGAGTAGCGTAGCACCGTATTACAAAAAATGGCCTGGTCAGGAAAGGGGGTAAATTCTCTGGAGGGTAAGTGGTTAATGGAACCCTTTGACAACACTTTGCTT